CAGTACTGATAAGTCATTTCTGGGATGTGAGCTGAATATCCATTTTTTTTTATAATTACTTATGCCAAAGGTAATTTGAATGATTTCCTTCTAAAAGACATGGTAAGTCCACATAATAAGTCTGTAATTTATAGTTGTTAAATGCAGTCAAGACAGTCCTATAAATTCCTTTCTGGCATTCTCATCATACAACCTAGAAATACAAACCAACGATATGTCATTATAGCTTAGAAACTCAAAAATAACAATTTGTAATTTGAAATTATTGATAAAGCAGAACACTGACATATGACATAAGTGTAGCAGCTCTAAATGTGTTTGGCTAACAAAGAGTTCTCTTATATTTCCTCCAAAGAATCCTGTCAAGAATCTGGCCTACTAAGAACACTAACCATAAATTAAAGCTGAAAAGTTTGTTACTGCTAGGAGGATTATAATCTTAATAATTTTCATCCAAAAATAGAACAATGAAAGAGAAAGAGGGGGAGTAATGATAAGAGGGATTATTTCAGGAAAATGGCTATGGGAATGCTAATGATGGGCATGACGGAAAGTCCTCAAATCCATAAACCAGTTTAAAAGGAAAGGTAATGCTTTACCCCAGCCTATCAAGATGAAGCCCCACAGGTATTTGGTGTCCGAAAAAAAAGCCACAAAGATTAGACTATGCAGGTAGAGACCTTCCACCAGGATCCAATAGTAGTTTGTAGCCAAGAAGTAAATAAACATCACAACAGCAATCTTGCACCCGATCTGTTACAAATAAACGAGAATTGCATCATGTTAGAACTCCTCATTGTACTGGATGCCAACATTAGACCACTAAAAAACAATTCTTCAGGATTTCTTATTTTTTCATAGTCTAAAATTTCTCCTGTACATAGAATGGCCAAGACTGTTGAGAGACCATAACAAAGTTATTTAACACAGCATTTTTTAAGACTATGTAATTTGGTTCTATTTTTAAACAAGTTTTTTTCTTTTAGAAGTTACAAAAAATCACTTTCTTAATTTTTTCTCTTTATATAAATAACATATGATCATCAGAGAAAATTAGGAAAGTATAGAAAAGCACAAAGAAGAAAATATTACCCATAGTCTACCATGAATTTATTTTATTGTGGTCTTTTTTATGCAGCTATTGCTGTAAAACAAACAGCCCCAAAAGTTAGCGGCTTAAAACGGTAAACATTTAACATGTCATAAATCTAGGGATTAGCTAGATGGTTCTGCTGATCTTGATCAGCCTCACTTATAGAAGTCTACTCTCAGCTGACTCACCATCACTTCCTCTTCCTTCTATTGGGTAAAGCCAAGTCACAAAGCCAGTCCAGAATCAGAATTAGCAGGGACTACCAGTTACAGGGCAAAGGCACAGATACAGACAGGGCATTAATTTGTACCGTCAAGACAATAAATCTGCTATATCTAATTTCCAGATATATTGTTTCAATGATCTAATTAACTGAATTATTGGGTGACTCTATTTACTAACTACCACCAAGACATTTAAGAGCAGAATCAAATATCACAAAATTTTATACTGGAACAAGTCTTTGAGTCTACAATAAAGGAACTAAATATCGTGGCATTTTAAATATCAAGTTTCTGGTTTTACTGACGGGTTTTTACTTTTGAAAGTGGAAAGCCATGACAGTTGCTATGGTCCATACATCAAATGCCATTCCAAATCATGTGTTTTTGGCAGTTTCCATTCCAGAATGTTCTTGAGGAAAGAACACAAGCACTTTTAATCATCTAAAATGATGAGTGATTAGACATGACAGGGCAGAATTGAGGGAACAATCATCACTATACAAACTGGTAGTCCATTTTAGTTCAGAGATAAGGTAAGCAAAAACAAGTTAACACATATTTAGTACACAGTAAAATTTTACTTATTTGTAATGTTATACAAATCAGTAACAAGAGAAAATGGTGAAAACACTTACATATTGTGTTTTGTCTACAATAGGTGCTTCAAAGGAATTTTGTAGGTCATCCTGCATCATCAGGGACTGCAGCTCCTTTACCCCTATGTGAGCATGGACCACTCTGTCTTTGACAAAGATGCTTGTAGCTCTCAGCATGAAAGATACAAATAAGTGTATGTGGATATAGTTCCTAGTGCAATGCAATCGTCTATAGAAAGAAACATTCAATATTTAGATCTGCATAAAATGAGAAATGGGGAAAGACACCCAGTATCCACTACTACCACTACTGGCCAGCCTACCGTCTCCCCAGCGATTGGTTCTAGAACCCCACATGGATACCAAAATCTACAGATACTCAAGTTTCTTATATAAAATAGTGTAGTAGTTGCATATAACCTATGCACATCCTCTCATATTCTTTAAATCATCTGTAAATTACTCATAATACCTAATACGATGTGAATGCTATGTATTAATAAATCATTGTCATACTGTATCATTTAGAGAATAATGATAAGAAAATAAAGTCTGTACCTGTTCAGTACAGATACAGCCACCCACTTTTTTCCCAAATATTTTTGATCTGCAGTTGGTTCAATCTGGAG